GACATACCACGCGTACATTTAGCGTTTGGATATAAACACGCGTTAGTAGACATACCACGCGTACATTTAGCGTTTGGATATAAACACGCGTTAGTAGACATACCACGCGTACATTTAGCGTTTGGATATAAACACGCGTTAGTAGACATACCACGCGTACATTTAGCGTTTGGATATAAACACGCGTTAGTAGACATACCACGCGTACATTTAGCGTTTAGATATAAACACGCGTTAGTAGACATACCACATGTACATTTAGCGTTTGGATATAAACATGCGTCAGTAGATATAGCACGCGTACATTTAGCGTTTGGATATAAACATGTGTCAGTAGATATAGCACGCGTACATTTAGCGTTTGGATATAAACATGTGTCAGTAGATATAGCACGCGTACATTTAGCGTTTGGATATAAACGCGCGTTAGTAGACATACCACGCGTACCTTTTACTGATGATACATTACTACGATACTCAATCGTAATCGAGGATTTTAGTCCTAACCTTTTTCAACGTAAGGGATCCTTTCAATGGCACCATTTTCTCCTTTAAACCTCCAGCCGTGAAAGGGACATTCCAGGCAGTTTCCATAGACACGACCCCCGACACCTAAGTGTGCCCCCAGGTGAGGACAATGTGCATCAAGAATGTAGGCCTGACCGTCGTGTCCTCGAAATACTGCAAATTCTTTTCCTAAAAAGAAACAGCTAGGTAATTGAAGAGTGTAAGTTAATTATGAATAACCAACCAATCAAGAAACAAGTATCACCTGTGCTCTATTTTGTTGTTGCTTCGATTCGACTACATGATTTTACTACTAATTTTGTGTCAGAAAATAATATATCTCTCAAACATTTATTCCAGTCAGTTTGCTCAATGATAGGTGCTAAAAATCTGGTTTCGATACCCGTGATGGGCAGAGCACAGATAGTCTACTGTGTAGCTTTGTGTTTAAACAACAACCAAACCAAATCTAACGAGTTCATTAGCGATACCCACATTGTGATACTTTTACCTATAAATCGCCTATAATAACGTTATTTCACAACAACAAAGAATAATGTAATAATAAGATTTTGTTACAAAAATGCAGTCCGGATAAAACTAGATCTGTATTAAGAAAAAGTAAACCGATGAATCATGGAGAGTTCTTTTCCCCTATAGATAGACACGACCTCCGACTCCTAATTGTGCCTAAGAAACGTACACCCACACACACTGCTGTGCATAAGTTACAGACCACCATTCAGTCTCTTGTGCAAAAGATATCCAAGATGAAATATAATACTAATGTCAACCTAAAAACCTTGTTGATTTAAATACCTTCCAAAGTCACGTGTTTGATTTAAATGAATTCGAAAAAGAAAAAAAACAATATTTGAGAATTCAAAACTGACAGTAGTTATGTTTATGAAAACCGGAGTACGTAATTCTTGGACGTCCAAAATCTGCAGATATTACAGTAATATCAAATAGTATTCCATGCATCTAGTCATTTTCTATTTTAAAAGTGTTACAACTTTTTTTTTCCTCAACCGAGTTATTATTTCCTTTGGTAAAAATTAGATAACTGGCTCCGAGGTGTACATTTTCTGAAGAATTATGACTTAGTATGATAGCTTTACATAATGAGGGCTACAGTCAAAAACTTGAGTTCAAAGAATAATCAAAATGGACAATGAAACTGTTACGGCTGATGACAGGCCCAGAATACCTCCCAAGATTTCAAGATGAGATCTTAAGGACCTTAAACTTACTTCACTCAGAAACAGACATATATCTAGCAGTTGCCTTGCAGCATAACTTCAAGAAACCACTGTAGACCCTTGCGCAGTGTGATGCCAATTACGTTAAGAAGAGCTAAAAGTATGCTTGGCACCAAGAAAACCTTTGTTCCGGAAAAGCAACAAACAAGAGACTTATGCTTGCAAAAAAGGGGGAGGGACCACCTAAGTGTGTGTGTCTAAAGAATCGGTAAACATGGCGGAGATGGCATTCAAGTTTAACCACAATTGGATTGGTGATCTCTACTGTGCTGATGAAGTCCTGGATTCTGCCTAGTGTAAGCACATAGTCGCTCGCCAACCTGTTCCTTCTGGACGTCGTTTAGTGGAGAAATTCTATTTTCCATTATGATAACGATCCCAGACATACAGCGAACGAAGTAAAACGGTATTTTAGTAGAAAGGATGCAGATGGAACCCTTGCATGGGCAATGAGGCCCCTGCAGATCCCAGATCTCAATACTACATGGGTAACAGGCCTCTACATAGCACAGATCTCAATATTACATGGGTAACAGGCCTCTACATAGCCCAGATCTCAATACTGCATGGGTAATGAGGCCTCTACAGAGCCCAGATCTCAATATTGCTGAGTGTGTATAACACTAAAACCTGAAGTTCGATACCCATGATAGGTACAACACAGGTAGTCCATCGTGCTGTTTTGCGTTTAAAATTAAGCGCGTTAATTACAATACTCTCAAGTCATTAGACAAACTAAAAAAATATACATAAAAATATTCTAAGCGTAAGAGATAGGATGTTGAGGTATTTATAACTAGCTATCTTTACACAATCATACACGGCCCATATTATTTGTTGACTAGTAGTTCTAAAACATGCCTTGCATATAATATATGTTTAATGTTTTAAATGTAATGTTTTTCTAATGTAAAATTACAAGTGTATACATAGCGTCTGAACGATACCACTGCTAAGAAATCATAGCTATAAATAGTACTTACCCAATGCAGTCACGGGAAGACTTTTCCCAACTCGAAGATCACGTGATTCTATAAGAGGAAACCAGCCGTTCGGGAATACAGGGGGTGTTTCCCCAGGCTTCCGGTTACTAACTACATCTTTCACTAATCCGGAAAAACAATGTCGACGAGAGGATTTTTTACCTTGGAGATAACCAAACCCAACTTCCGTCATGTCCTAAACAGAATCAACACATATATAGAAGATACCAGACATTTAAAAATCGTGCGCGACAAATAACAAAAAGACGTTTCTTGAGACCCCGATAAACTTACTGGTCTTGCATAATGACTTTTTGGATTTTTATCAAATCCAATAGCAGCATTGTAATATTTTCTCAGAATCTCTTGTTTATACCGAGAAGAAATATTAACAATCCACAGCGGCAGTCTGAGTGTTTTTCAAAGAATTCTCAAGGTAAAAAAATAATAATAACTTTATATTTAATTTAGCTCGTTGACCAAAAGAAAGTATTAAAACGGGTAATGGGGTTATTCCTTTTATGTCTGGTAGCATCAAGTTTTCCTCAAAGTTCTTTTCTTCTACTAACCCTGCTTCTATACCTGCAGACGAGTCAATTTAAACAATCCACTATGGCAACAAAAACTGTTCATCTGTGAATTTCTTTTGGCTCATCTTTTACACTAGAAAACTATATAAGATCTGTTGTAAAAACATCGAAAAACGTCGGTTTTCTTCTAAGAAAAAGAAAAAAGTAAGTGATACATATCGTATGAATTGTATCCAGGATATAATTAATACACTTATGTTTACAGTCATTGGAAGAATTATTGGTAACTTTTGAAAGATTGTGATATGAAATATTTCAATTTACAATCACACCAAGTTGTTTATAATACAAGGTACGAAACCAGAAGAACGTGAATTACGTACCCGTGCCCTCTCTAAACGGTGTATACTCCAGTACGTTATATAACCTAATATCAAGGTCAGCAAGATTGTTAGAAGGTGAGAGAATAGGGGTACCAGTAAACAAAGTAGTCCATCCATTAGCAACCGCAATCCAGTCGTGAGGTCGTTCACCTCCATTTCGTTTCTCAATACACTCTTGATGGAAGACCTGTATGGTAAAAATTGATTGAAAACAGTAAAATGGAAAATAATGGATCCAAATTGCGTTCGTTTAAAATAAAAACACTTAATAGGACACTTACTGATTTTTCAGTTTTCTTTATTTACTTAGGAACTGTGGGGTATAGCTATTAACTAAGCCTAAATTTGTTTGTTTTTTTTACATCTTCATTCATTGATAACACAGATCTGCGAACTTAAACTTCATAAAAAGTTGTTTTGATTTTAATAACCGATTTTCTATAATTCAGCTACGTAGATTTAGAAAATTATATTTTTTTTGTATCACGTAAGGATTATTTACAAATCGGGAAGAAAAAACTCGTACTTAGATCCAATTATTATTTAGTTTATCACAATGAACATTTCTTATTATTATGTTTGTTAACAAAAATACAAAGAAACTGAAGTAATGGAAAGAACACTGATGTCAAACGAATACGCATCCTCATTCATAGTGATTTTTGTTTTGTGAAATCTGAGTCTAAGTCTCAAAACTACGTGTTGTGGTCTTTCTTTTACGTATTGAGGTATGACGTTTTGTGAAAAATCTGTACGGGATGGACAAAAATGGATATCATTTTCGGATTCAGCGTACAAGAATTACTATAGAACATGTAAAAATTTCAAGACAATAACACCATCGCAGGTCTGTATAATTATTATGTACACCATGCTAACTTAAACCAAAATACTGAAGACAATGGAAACACTGCATTCATTACATCCATTTTGTTCAACCTGAAAGTTACAAAGTTTAAGGAAATATTCACGTATATTTATAAAAAAAAATATATCAAGATTAAAAACTAGGATTGTTTTTCTTTTCACCGAATATAGCACGTTTGTTCCTCCGTACTTAAATCTATGTATATTTTCAATATTTGCGGAATTTTAAGGAAATAGCTTTAATCCACTGTTGCCTGGCGTCTTTTGGGTGGAATTCTGAGCCGTTATCATAATCAGTGTTTATTTTTCGCATGACCTATAAAATTTTTAATCTGAAAATTACATATACGTTGAAGTAAAATGTATAAACTTGTAACACCTTTCTCTCACGTTTTGATGGACAGTTGTTTGAGATTAATCTTGTACTCGTTTATAAAAAAAAAAAATGCAAACAGACAAATAATTTGGTATCGAAATGATGTTGTTAATGAAAGGAAGATAACTATATTTTTTATCTTCCTTACTAGGAAATCTCCTTGACAATCAAAAGTAGAAACAGTGTATATCAAGACTAGTCCTAGATATACTAGACTATGTAATATCTATACATCAGCTAAACACCTCATCCGTTTTATCAACTCAGGGGTTTAATAACTCACGTTTGTCTGTTTGTTTGAAGTTAAGCACAAAGCTACACAATGGGCTATCTGTGCTCTGCCCAACACGGGTATCGAAACCCGGTTTCTAGAGTTGTAAGCCTGCAGGCATACCACTGTGCCACCTAGGGGGGGCGGGGGGTGGCAATAACTCACGTGTTTCGTACTGGGAGAACACAAGTGTTTAGCGTCATGTTCCAATGTAAGAGCAGCAGTGTTTTAGGGTTGTAGTATTTCCTTTTGTCCAAGACAGTTTTTACTTATAATATTCTACATACCGTAGTTTTCGGAATATAAGACGCACCCTTATTTTGAAGACAAAGTTTTGGGGGGAAAAAAGCTACAGTCGCATTTGAAAGATTTTTATTGAACATAAATTCAATTTGATACTTTAAAAATTAGTATATATTGTTCTAAACACAAAAGAGTTCAAAACATCAAAATAAGAAAATACCGTTGGAGAGGAGGAGAAAAACCTCCAGATTCTCTGAAATAATTTGGATAAAAGGTAATAAATGATATATTGACACATCTAAATAAAAACTTATATTCCAATCTATGTTGTGTAATGTTTCAGGCACACGCTGTTTGTTAGTCGCTAAATACCGTGTTGCATAAAAACTTAACATTTACTGCCTGGTAAAGGGCATCTGCCCAAAATATCAAACAAAACCAAACTAGAAAAACTTTATTTTTATCTCAATTGTTCCTGCACATGTTTTGTGGAACAGAATTCATTCAAAAACTTTCTGAAATGCTGAGTGTAATGCTGTTATAATACATGCCAACAGTTACTTACTTTTGACAAAGCAATGCTTTTGGCAAAGCAATGCTTTTGGCACTGCAGTAACTTATTAGAAAATTGGTTGATCGACTATGACAATTAAAAACATTATCACACCTACCTATCATTCGACTTGCTATACATGATCTTAACAATCATCAACCATTACAATTTTCAGTCATAAATTAACATAAAAAATCAATAAATGGGCTTTTAAAAATAGTAGTTCTTATTTTCAATACACAACAAAATGCAATCAAAATTATACTGAAATATATATATATATACGTTTTTATCTTTATTAGATAACTCTGCACATCAAAAAATCCTTTTGTAAAATTGCTCTATTCTGCATCATTATGTGTACACTTTCCCCTGTTTTTTCAGTGGTCTAACATACTGTATTTGATGTCTAAATGTTTCACACTTAGCTAATGTTTAAATGCTAAACGATTTCAAACCCACTTTACACATACTCATCCAGCAGCAGGGTTGTAAATTTCACTTGTGAGTTTATATCTACTGGCCTTGGGTAGTTTTGCACCAAGCTAATACAATTTCATATGGTGGGATTACTTGACTGCTCTAAACATTATAGGTTACTGTAACAGACAGCTTTCACATCAGTGCAACAGTAAACAGATGTTAAAAATGGACTTAAAAATTTACACTCATATACTAGAAATACATAAAATCCAACATTTATCTTAATTTTAAAACTGTAAGTGCAGGAAAGGTAATATTTTTGTAAAAACGTGGTAGAATAAATTAATAATTAAAACTTTGAACTAGAAAAAAAAATAAAGTTACAAAATCACACCCTACTTATGGAATTATACACATACATAAAATGGTGAATTCCCAGAGGACTGATATTGGTATTATTTTATATTCTTGGTATTGGTTTAGTAAAACTCGAGAACTCCTATACATCATATTGTGCTTAATATTTTCTGTGTGATATATATTACTATCTATATATATGACCTATGTGTTATATATTAAAAAATACATATAATAATTTCAAAAAATAAGGCAAAAAATAAAAAATGATCTCCTATTATACTATACAATTACTTTTAAAACTATAAGTATTTTAATCTACAATATAAATAGTATGTTATTTTTTTATCAATAATATTCATAGAGATCCTTTTTGTGGATTGAAAGTGAGCCTCTCCTCCTTAAAAAAACATTCTGGTTGCATGCATAAAATTATGGTAAGACTGCATTAATAAAAAAAAGTTACAGCAAGTTAACATTCATTATTCTTTATTTTCTCAAAGAAAATGACAGTTGCTGAATAGCTTGCTTATTTAAGTGTGTTTGTCAGAATTTACTAGATATCCACTAATAACAGTAACTACTCCTGTTTAATTATGGCTAGCTCTAGCTAGATAGGAAGCTCTGAAAAGGAAAAATAAAAAACCTGGTTATTGTTAAGTACTGCTTAAACATAGCCTAGTACAATAAGTTGTTTGATTTATTAGTTTCAGACTGTACTGTAAAATGTAAAGTATTAATCATTTTAATGTGTTCTTTCTAAACTTCCACCTGTATCAAAAACTTCTTGCTTGAAAACATGTTTTTATAAAGTTTCCGTATTTTTTGGTGTATAAGACGCACTTTTTTACCCCAAAATTCGTTGTAAAAATCTGCTTGCATCCTATACACTGAAGGTATGAATAATATATATGTATATATACGATATACACAAGCCATGTGTAAATATATTTAAATAGGCGTGCATAGTTTAGTTCAATTGAATGTGTTACTTATAACAATAGTAGTTTTTCTTTTAAAAACATAACTATTTATAATGCTCCCTAAATAATAAAAAAATAAATTACAGTGAAAGCAATGAAGATTTTGAGCCAAACTAAATAACAGTAAACCTTTTTTTGATTTACAATTTATAATCCTCTGGAACAACTGAGGAAATTAAAACAAAATTATAGTACTGGTATGTCAACTTAATATAACAAACCATACACATACACACAATGTACTTACATATAGACAAGTATATATACATAGGAACTACATGCTATATTTGAATGCAATCTAGTAAATAAATTTGAAGGGATCTTGCTATCACTGGCAGTGCCTAAGACATGTACTACATTCCAGATATACCAAATTTCATTCAACACCCTAATTAGCACCAATGGTGCCCACACAAGGAGATTACAATAAGTAACTTCTCACAAAGAGAACTGATGGAAAGAAAAACATAAACAGACGTATAGCTTAAATCATTACTTGTAGTAGTAATTTCTTTAAAATCTTTAAATGTTTGGAAGAATTATGACTGCTGTACCGTACATCAGAACCCTCAGATTGCGAGTCGAGCACCATAACTAGCTGGCCATGCCGGGTCAATTACAGAAAAAATATCATACTTTGCAAGAACCTTTGTTCGAAGTATTTCCTATTTGATATTCTTTAGAAACGAATAAGAGATTATTTTAGGAAAATGAGTTTTGTTGATAAATTTAGAACCACATTAAATGTTACATAGTTTAACATACAGAGGGAGTTTAAAACATCTATAAAACTTTAAGGTAAAAAAACGTGGGAAATTTTACATTGATTAAGTCGGTCTTGTTAGAGAGAGAGCCTTATTTTAGAAACTGAAGAGTATTCTGAAAGATACAAAAAGGATATTTATGCTTTTATGTATGTATGTTTTAATTATTTATTTTAAATTAACAATAATAAAATTTATAAATCTTAAATAATTTTGTTTTGTTTATTCAAATCAGGTTATCGTACTTCTCAAAGGTAAGTTAATATTCTGTGGAAGTGCAGATTTTTCACAAATTTTGAACATAAAAGTTATTTTGTTAAAATGTCACGTAATGTTACTGACACTACAAT